TTATTAATTTTTTTTTGTTTAAAGAAAATTAGTTTTTACAAAAATACTTCTAAGAATATAGTTTACCCATATTTATTTTGCTTTTCTATAATAGTCTTGACTAATAACTTGTTTTCTGTATAACTAATTCATGTTACGAGATCAAACCATTTTATTAATTCAAGTTCAGTTGTTATATAAGCATACTAATCTTGAAGTAAAGCCGTTTAGAATTTGAAAATTAGTATTTTTGAGTTTTTGTGTGGTTTACAGTATACAAATTATGTACCGTTAATATTGCATGATTTAAAATATTTTTTATGAAACGGAAATTGTAAAAATGTCATACATACGAAAATTATAAGTTTTGGCACGAAATACTAAAACTTCATCTTTAATATGCTTATGTTGTTAAAGTTAAAGTTTGATCTTTACATTAATATAAAAACATATACTGACCACAATGGCATGACTTGTTTTATATTGCTATTCTTAATTCACAATCATTTATTTCAATTTATATTTCAAACTATATTTCATAATTTAGATTAATCATTTTTTTTCTTTTTTTTTGCTATGACATTAAAACTTATATAAAAATCAATAAAATGAAAATCATTCTTGCAAATAAAATTATGTAAAATTTTCAATATCCGTGGTTTAAATAAGTATTTTATAATTTAATTTTAAAAAAAAATTAGAGTCCTTAGTCAGGGTTGAAAATATCAACCATATTCATAGTTTTTTTTAAATTTCACCAAATTTCAATAAGATTTCGATGTGTTTAGTGTTAAGTATAACCATCGCATTGCCATTCATCCTTAAAAAATTCATGAATTATGTTTGATATCTTCGCCCTGCCTTAGTATTTTGCTCAAGGATTACTTTAAATTTTTAAAAAGCTTTATAATTTTACTCTGTTTAAGTTTTAAGTCAATAAATACGTATTTTGTATGAAATTTTGATAATTTTTATATATAAATTTTATTTTTTTCTTATATTATATTATATAATAATATTTTAATTTATCTAATATTTTACTTCTAGTTTTATTACTTTTTTTTAATCTTTAATAAAATTCAGTCATATTTTTTTGAGTTTTAATTTTTTGTGATTATAATTTTCGTTTTATAAAATGTTATTTCATTATTTGCTATTATTATCATTTACGGGTTCACTTGCAGTAGAAAAATGGGAAATTTAATATATTTTCTTTTAAGTTTCGGGGTTTATTTCATTTCTTTTCTGTGTTTTATAATTTAATGGGTTGAATGTGTACGCAAAATATGAATTTTCAGAAATTTTATGTTTTTTTTTTTAATTTTTAATGTGATTTGAAAAGCATTTGTAAAATTGAGAGATTAACTTTCTACATTTATTAAACTTTTTTTTGTTTTGATTCTTTTTTTGCAGCAAATTGTGTGCGTTTCAGTTTGTGTTCATTAAAACGTTCTGCATAAAATATGTAATATAGACTATCCGACTTTAAACTGGAAGTCAGATATCTGACTTCAAACTGGAATGAGAACTAAAATAACGAAGTAAAATGTAATAATAAATCAAGAAAAGCTGAGGAAGTGAATTAAAGCAGAAAATCATTTTTGCATATTTTAAAAAAATTTATGTTCTACATACAAATCAAAAATTTTACGACAAGTCCAGAATTTTAAAAATTACTTTCATCTTAAGAAAAATTAGTGCCAAATATTATAACTGAGTATAGCGGAATGATACAACTCATTAATCAATAACAAATAAAATTGAAAAAATCAAACAGAAAAATGAAAACCGAATGAAAATTATGTTTTGCTGTCAATGAAATTCCAAAAATATAAGCAAGTATATTTATTATGATTACTAAAAAAGTATTCAATATACGAACATTTTTTTTATCGAAAAACAGAAAATAAAATTTTATAATTAATACTCGAATTACTTCTGTGTTAGCTATAAAATATTTGCAATTTATTGAAATTTAACTCTTTTTCCACCAATTTTCATCAAATGAATTTCATCTATCTGAAATGAAATGGAAAAACAATTGAAAACATTATAAGACATCGATTTTTTTAAGAACTCCCAGGTCATAAACCATCAAGAATCAGGATAGAATTAACGCATATCAAATAAAACCGAACTAAAATACTAATGCTACCCCGTAGTGCAAATCTTTAAATAAAATCTCAATTAAAAATTAGTTAAAAATAAGTGTGTAAGTAGCATAACGTCAGCAAAAAATTAAATTATATATGTAAATTTTCAGTTCACTAGTTTTGTAATAACTCCAAGTTTTAGTAAATTTTCTACTCACTACTTTTAATACTATTGATTCTTAATTCACGGCTAGCTCACAAATTTATTGGTATTAACTCGAATGGTTCGATTTAAAAATAGCTGAAAAAGGACAACGAGAGTCTTTGAAAACGCAAAAAAAAAATAAACAGCCGTCAGAATTGGTGTTTTTTTCCAAACTATAAGCACATTGCAAATTTTATTATTTCGCTACTCTTTTTAAGCCCTTTTATTATGAGTTTTTATTTGTATGTATAAAAAATCTTTGTAAGGATGGTAAATCACTTTGAAAGTTACGCTCTTATTCTTTTCACCATGTTTGTAAAACGGGACAGCGGTATGATGGTCCAATGTAGATATTATATCTGTACATGTATTAAAACAATTCCTTTCTTTTTTTTTTTGAAAAAATGTTAATGGTCAGTGTAGATTTTTTTATTATTATTACAATTTTTTTTGGAGTTTTTGTGTTTTTTTTTGTTTGCTTTTTATTCAATTTGAAATTTTCATTGTAAATATTTTTTTATTATAGAGCAAATAAAGCAAAAACTGAGGGAAAAAAGGTTTTCTGTTCTCCTTTAAAACAAAAAGTTTTCTTTTCTTATTTCTATTTTGTTTCATTAGAAAAGAAAAATAAAAGTTTTAAAATTTTTATTTTCTTTCTCTTCGTTTCTTTTTTTGCGTTTGTATCTACGATTTAAATGATTTGTAGCGAAAAAAAGGATGAAATCTTTAAACCTTTTTTGATTTTATTTTTCTGAATATAAATCTGGTGTATACCTGATTTTTTTTAATGGGAGAGAAAAAACAAGCCTTAATTTAAATTTTTTTTTAAATCATTTTTACACAAGGTTGGCGAAAAGTACTGGGATTGAATTTTAATATTTTTACAATTATGTGAAATTAAATCAAGTAAAAACGTTTCAGTCGGTATAAACCGATCGAATTATACCCTGCACCTTTCATTGATATCTAGCAATTACTCGAACCTAGAATCTTTACGGATATGTCTGATCTATACTTGGACGCATGTCTGCCAAGCTTCATGAATCTAGTTATTTTTCCACATGTACAAAATTAACTTTTGGAGTTGTATGGCAGCTACGCGAGTCATTGTAGCCATTCCGTTAAAATTTTTACGGCATTTGTAGAATGTAATTGGATACACGTATAAAAAATTTTATGTTTATACTATTATTAGTTTTTAAAATATTTAAAATAATTTTTATTAAGTTGTATGGGAGCTACCCGAACCCGTTGTCGGAATTGATTCAATTACAATAGGGTTTGTCCTTAAGCCAAAAGAAACAGCTTTTGAAAGTTTGGTGATATTTGCTTTATTCGTTTTTGAGTTACCATGTGATCGGACGGACAGACGGACATTTCTATATCAACGCAGAATTTTACGTTGAGCAAGAATATGTTCATACGGGTGGTGACTCCATCAAGTTGCTACAAGTTCCATATTAAAGTTAGTATGCCCTTCACCAAGGTGCGGGGTTTAAAAAAACCTACGGTTTTAAAATGGTTGAAATTTTTTGATTTGTATGTACAATATTTTTAACGTTTCAATATTTTACCAAATACAAAACTCAGCTTAGTAAAGCAAATAAAAAACATTCGCCCTTACTATATTAGTCGCACCACTTGATGCAATGGGATATTATTGGAAAAATTTTGGTTTCAAATATAGAATTTAAAATTTTGAAATTAATTTTACTCAGAAAATGACAATCTTTTTGAATAACAACCCAATCATCATCAAGTGATGCACCTAACAGAATATGGGCGATAATTTATTACCAAGTAGCAAAACTCAATAATAAAACTTAATTGTTTTTGAAAAATTTTACAAATTCATAAGTGCTTTTGTTAAATTGAGCTTGAAATACACTGCCTATTCAATTGTTATAATTTTATATTACTCGACAATTCAAATTACCTATGTATATAATTTATTATATTTATAGTTTATAGTAAATTTATTTAAATAAATACATATATAGAAAATTCGTGAGTTTAAATTTTATTAAAAATATTATTAAAAATATTAAAATTAAATATTATATAGTACGTATACTCTGCACACACAGACTTCATAGTTTATAACAAATAATATTTTAAACCTCTTTACGTTAAAAGAGAATTTCAAAGTATGGCAGTTGAATACGATAAAATTTATTGAGTTAATTTTCTATATAAATTATAATTCTATTATAATTGCATATAAAATTTATGTCATATTTTAAAAAAAAAATATATGGTGAATGGTTTCTGTTTACTCGAAAGTATTAAGTTTTTGATCAGTGGCACTAGCTAAGAAAATTTAGCTCAAAGAATTACTTGACATTTTCAATATAATTTCATGAACATTTATTTTTAGAATTTTTGATTGAATTGTTTCAATAAAAATGATAGTAAAAATCTAAGGAGGAGGAAAAGGGAACTGAGAAGCTTTGGTAAAGCGCGTATGTAGCGCACGAAATATATTAGCAAAAATAAAAATTATTTTATTCCGAATGAAAGGGAGTTTTCTTTTCATACAAGTAAAAAAAAAATATATTCCGGAAAAATTATCAACCATTGAAGAATTTTTTGAAAAAAAGAACCTTTTTGAAGACTTTCAAATAGATTGGTATAAGTCAATTATAATAATTAGTGTATGATTTTTCTAAATTTTATCCAATTGTTTTGAAAAAAAGTATAAGTTAATGTTTAGGTATGTAGATACAAATTTTTTTCACTGACGCCCATAGATATATAAAACATTTAGGATTAATTGTTAAATGGATTTTCAAAAAATAAAGTGATTTCGTCACAAATAATTCTTATAAAGTCGAATAACAATTTTGATAATTTTTTAGCACGCCATCTTAAATTGTAAATCTACGAGGAAAGATGAAGAAGCAAGTAATTCAAGAAAAACTTTTGGAAAACATTCTGTCTTTACTTTTTTCTTTATGCTATTATTTGATTCTATTTTCAAATCTTTTAAAAAATCACTTTAGTTATAATCCTTTTTACTCATTCTAGATAGATATTTTTTTTTTGCTTTATTTTCATCTTGTTTTTTACGTTTTATTGTGCTTTTGAAAAGAACAAAAATTTGTAAAATAAAAGTAATAAAACAACAATGTGATGCGTAATTATAAAATTGGAAATCCTTAGATATTCAAAAGTAAAACTTTAGGTATTTTCCGTTTTTATTCTTCTTTGTTTCGAAATAAAAAATTTTTTCTAAGTTGACAGTTTTTTCTCATTCTAAACTTATTTTTCTCCTAAAAGTTTTTCTTTTATTTATTTTTTATTATTATTTCTTTTTTTTGTGTTTTAATTCTAAAAACCTAATTTTTTTTTAAATTTTATATATGTAAATGTTTTATTTTACTTTTTATTATCCTGACGATGTTTTTGCGAATTTTTATTTAATTTTTTTTGTTTTGTATATCTATTGTTAATTTTAACCTTTTTTTACATTGTTTCTTTTGTTTTTTAAAAATGTTTTGTTTTTTCCTTTTCTATAAAATTTTTAATTACGACAAATTTTCATTGATCTATCTGTACGTAGTTACGTAAATGACATTTTTAATATTCGCTGAACTATTAACGTAACACTATAATACCATAAATAGTTTATGCACATATAACAACTATTATGTGTAAAGCTAATTGGGTGGTATCGAAAACGATGTGCACTACTAAAACTCATTGTTTCTGTTGCTGAACTTCTTGATACTTTACTTCGTGCTGCGACTTCAATAATATTATTACTAATGTCAACATCGTCCTCAACAACATGTAATACAGGTATTTTTACTTCTGGTATTGCTTCTGTAACGAATACACGTCTGGGTTTGCAACGTCTTGGCGGCTGCCATGCTTTTGTAATATTAACACTATATCCTTCTAAATATTCAGTTCCCTGCAAAAAATACAAAAAATATAAGAATTAGTAAAAAAAAAAAATTGAATTCAAAATTTATCAAATACATGGAATAAACTTTTAAAATTCAAAAGTATTCAAAAAGTAATTTTGATTTATTATAAAATGAGATAAATAGTTTTACAGGTAACATTTTGAATAATATTCTATATTTTTGATATAAAATGGCCAAAAAATGTAACGTTAAATAAACATAGAACATTGAAACGAATTAATTAAGCTCATTAGACTCCATTATTGGCCAATTGAATTTTTGAAATGTAAAAACAATCTCCTAAGACAAGAATGTTGAAACTAATGCATGTTCATCAAGCTAATGTTTTTGCAGTATTGGTCTCGCAGTTATTATATTGGAGTATTGCGTTTATGAAAATCTCTTATATTGCATTTAAGCATAATATTGGTGAACAATCTCAATACCACTATATTCAAAGTTAATTCCATAATTATTTTCATATTCAGCAATGAGTATTTAATCTCTGAAATTTTAATTTAAAATTTAAACATTTAAGGTGGATGAATATACACATATTAATATAAAATTTACATACTAATATCTTGTGCGATATAAAATATTTAATCGCACCTATAAAATATCAAAAAAATTAGGAAAAAACAAATCGTGGTAACATAAAATACGAGCTTTTCAAAATAATCAAATAAATATTTTATCTTGATCTGTTAACAAGAACAAAAAATAAAGTTGGGTCAAACCAATGGTTTGTATTGTAACACTTTTCCCTTCAACAAGTGAAAATACTGCCTTTAAATACAGTGTATGTATACCTACCACACCATTCAAATTATTTTTATTCATAAATGAAACTATGTATGTATTTCTAGGATTGCATTTATTAAAATGAACGATTTATGCAGTTTTTGATATAAAGCGAAAATTAATATAAAGAGGGATTAACATAATACTCAATTTTAAGGGTTAATTGCATGAGTTAAGAATAATAATTATATGTTTTAATGTCATGGAATTTACCGTTAGTTTCTTGCATTTATGGAAATTTGAAAAAACTCGCGGTTTCGGAAATATAAGTCGCAAAAACTCAAATTTTACAAATTTCAAGAGGCGATAACTTGAGAGGGAGTGGAGAAGGAAAAATATTTTCTTCTAACGAAATAAGGTATTTATTAGTGTCTAAGACCTCCTAAAATTATTAATTATTAGTGTCAGGCTCTAGAAGAAAAATGACATCAAAAATTTAGAAAAAACGGATTTTAGATAACGGTAAATTTGAACGGCCATTTTGTCTTTTTAAAGTTTAACTATAGTATACCGTGATAGGAGAAGCAAGCCACTGCCTTTCTGCGTTTGCAAAATTTGGAAAATGCTTATGGTTTCACTGCAATAAAAAGCTAAAAAATGTCATTTTTTGAGGATTTAGGGGGTATAACTTTTAGAGCGGGAGAGATAGATGAAAATTTTTTCTTCTACGGAAATATATTTCTAGTAAACATCTATGTACATATAAAATTTCAGCTTTCTATCTTCAAGGGTGTAGAAGTTTTTCCAACATGTGCACGAATGAACGGACGTAGGGAAGGATGGTCCGACGGGCAGAGTGAGACTAATTTTCAAAAACTCTAATTTTCTAACATTTAATACAGAAATATCCAGATTTTTGCAAAAGGCAGTCTTTTTTCGCTATACGCTCTACTTTTATTTTACGTTTCGATTGCGTATTCTATACATTTTGGAATAATGTAATGTTAAGAACTTTTAATATACATTTTGGAATACGACATTGTAAATTTTAACTCTTCACTTATGCAAACTTCTAGTTATAGTTCCGCGTAAATATTTTTATGGAAATGTGCATAAAATCTAAATAGTTTTTATAATATTATACATGTATCTGTTAACAGAAGTTTTAAGGCAAAAATAATATTGTTGAAAAGATCAAAAAAACCAAGAATAAGAAAACAACATAAAATTAAAAAGTTGAATTAGTAAATGGCAAGACACCGACATCAAAACCATTATTATTTTTTTCTACTTTTAAAACTAAAAAATTTTCGATTAAAAAATAATCAAAACTTTCTGACTTTTTATTTTTGCATACTTTTTTCAGATAAAATGTTTTAACTTAGTCGTAATATGCAAAATTTTTGGCATTTAAGGGGTGAAAATAAGCACATGAAGTTTTAGAAACGTAGTTTTTTTGCATTTGGGTATTTTTTTTACCGACCGTATTGTGTATACAATAGGTAGGTTATATGATGGCAACAAATTTTGTATATGAAGTTTTCGGTGGGAATGAACTTCTCCATAGTAGGGAAGTGTAAATAAACTATTTTTAGCAACCTGTCGGTCTGTCGCTCTGTCGGTCTGTGTGCGCACGCGTGTATATCAGGCCTCGGGAATTGCACTTTTTAGCGGGCATATTTTACATTTTTGACCATTTTAAAGAATATATTCAAGCGATTTGCTTGAAATTTCATATATAACCCTTGCTCGACCGTCCGCGAAACTTCATAACTTTTGAAAGAAATCAGGTGTCAGCAACTGGACGTTTACTGTGGGCGGAATATACATTTTTGCGTATATAACGAGAAATAATCAACCGATTTCATTGAAATTTAATATTTAAATTCTTCGTACCAAAACAATTAACATATAAATTTTTTGGAAAGATCAGGGCTCAAAAACTGATCTGCTGATCTGATTTTACATTTTTCATCATATCTGTGGAACGAATTAATGGAATTCCTTGAAATTTGATATTTGAGTTCTGGTTGTTACCGAAACTAACTGGCGAGCATTTCAGGGAATTCGGGTAGCACAAAGCGAAACTCTACTAAGAGCCAAATTTACATATTTCTAAGTATGTTAACTATAAGCTTACTAATGTCCTAAAAATTGGAAAAAAGTATTTAACAGACATTTTTATAATATTCTGTAACACTTTCACTGAACTAGACTATACACATTGCGGTCGGTTATGTGCTTACCACATCAGATTTTGTTTTGTAGTTTTCCTTCAACTTTTGTTAGTAACATGATGCGGGTTTAATGTTAAGATTTTTTGTTTTGCTATCGCACAAACATGAAGATATTTTAAATCAAAAAACTTTATTTTTCGGTTTAAATATTATTTAAAATAATGTTTCTAAGCAGAACATATATATATTACTATACGAAAGTACATATATTTTTAATTTTTGTGAGTGTAATCTGATCCTTTTTTCTGTTTCAGATAGATAATTATCTACACATCAAAAATTCTGTAAGTTTTTATGTATTTAAAATTTTAGTTTTCTGCACTTCGAAAATGAAATTTTTTAAACAAAAACTTTAACATTGGCAAAATGTAAACAGGAATAATTGAAATTTGAGGTTTTCACCTATTATTTGCTTTTATTTTCTTTGTTTTTGACAATATGACGTACTTGACATTAGTATATATTATGTGTGCTTGCAACTTTATATAATACTCGTATAATATGAATGAACTTGTGAATTCTTTTTCTTGAAATTGGTACAAGGTAAAATGATTATGAAAGTTTTAATTTTCTCAAAATAAAATTTTTTACTTTAGTTGATCACAAAACACTTATGTTTGATATAATATAAGAATGTTTGAATTGTTTTTAATATGTCGTGTGACTGAGAATATCAAAAGTTTCCATATTTTTACCACTTTTCAAAAAAAATTTTGAAAAAAAGTCTTTAATGGTTTCGCTCTGTCCACCTGTCCTTTCGTCCGTTCGTCCGTAGACATGTTTACAAATTTCTACACCCTTTAACTACATTTTAGTTGGAAAACCGTAAGCATTTTTCAAATTTTGCAAACGCAGAAAAAAAGTGGCCAGCTTCTGCTACCGCGGCTTTAAAATTGAACTTTAAAAATATAAAATGGTCGTTCAAATTTACCGTTACCTAAAATCCGTTTTTACCTAATTTTTTATGTCATTTTTGTTCTAGACCCCAAGTTGCAAGATAATTCTTTAATATAAATATAATTGTTTTTCTTAACTCAAGCAATTAACCCCTAAAATCAAGGATTATATTAACACCCCTTTAATTTTTTGGCTTAATTTCAAAGACTGCACAAATTGTTCATCCTAAGCTTATGTAATCCTTGAAATAGTTTCATATATGAATGACAGCAATTTTAATAATGTAATATAGACCTTAGTGCAAAGGTTGTTTTAAAAACAGTATTTTCACTTGTTGAAGGGAAAAGCGCTACATTACAAACCAATGGTTTGACCCACTAAAAATTTGTAAAATTGAATTTTTCTTTTAGGTAAATAATTACTTCCAAAACCAGTCAACACTCTATAAATTTTATTATCTACGAGTACCCTCTATAAATTTTAAAAATTTCGAAATTTAAAAAATGTCTCAAATGTTTTATCTATAAACTGAAGAAATCCTCCATAAAAAGTAATTTCTTTAATAGACAGAAAACAATGAAAATGATTGACAATGTAAAGTGAAGAAGCATGTTTTAAGAAATTGAAAAAAAAAAACAAATAAAATAACCGAAAAAAATCAGGAATCACATTGAAAGAGACAATCTTATATAAGTGTGTACGTTAAAATAAGTGAATACAAGTAAAAAGAAAGTAACAAAAAACAGTCCAGATAAAGTCTAAGTAAGATTTTCTTTTGAAATTGTTAAAAATAAAAGTTCACGATTTTAAAATATTATAGTGAGGAGTGGCAATAGATTTATATAGAGGGTGAAGAATAATAATAAAGTGAAATGTAAATTCAACATCATGTTTTTGTACTTCAGATGCGGCACTTAAAAATAAATTTTTTTCTTTAAACAAACTTATAGTGCTATACATTAAGTTTATTATATTATTTCAATAATTATTAATAATTAAATACAATTTCCATTCTTAAATAGACTTTTTAAAATTTGTTTTTACAAATTGAAATTCCAAATTGAATAATTTTAAGTTTTAATTAACGCTATGCTAATAAAATCATAATGGATTTATGTTAATTAATT